TGTGCTGATACAACTTCTGGTAAAAATGCTTTCGTAGCTGTTGTAGAATAGTGTTATATCTAATTTCATGAATTGTTTTAGAAAACAATAAAGAGAAATACTTTTGTGTAGCCGATAGCTACAGCACTTTCTCCAAAAATGAGTGATGACTGTAAATGGAATGACTTTACACAAAGAAGAGGCACATGAACATTTTTTTAATAATTAAAGGAATACAAAAGTGTGGGTTTGCCCTGGCAGACTGTATGCAGGCGCCATGACAAATCAAGAGGTGTGCCAGAAAGAGTGATGGAGGGAAGACCTACACCGCTTTCCAGCACAGAGTTTCTTTGCTGTGGTGTTCTTCCAAGGAGCAGGAAGGCACAGGATCTGAACAGCCAAATCATATGGCCCGATGTGCATGTGCAGTGATGTATATTGATGCGCAGGATAAGAAAAATTAATTTCCCCAGGCTGCATAACAAATACTGTGCTGGAAGCAGTGTGTACAGTGTGGTGAACCTCCTTCTTGCGCTGGACGGTTCAGAAGCTGTCAAGAGGCATTGATCTGAAGGGGTCAGGTCTCCCATTAGCCCATGTAATGTCTAAAACTACACCCAAGCGATGCTGCAAGTACGGCTGTGACAGGTAGTGTGCAAAATGTGTGTGCTGCAGTGGGGCGCTCATCTAAGTTGCATCAACAGTCTCCCCCACCTCTGGGTTACCTCCCATGAGGCTTCTGGTTACTTTTACAGAAACGTGGCTTGTGAGCACAGTCCAGGAAAGCAATATTTTGGTGTCACCTTGAGCGTTCACTTGTACGCCACCAAAGCTGCTTTTGACTCCTGTAAATTGTGGGGAGAAATGTTTGATGGCCGTACATAGCTTGCCTTGTTCTGGTGGTGCTGGCTGCTGTGGGACATGTTCAGTTGTCTCTGCAGAGCCCTCTTGTCTTGCTGGGTTCCTATCAAGTCCATCTTGAAGAGTACACCCACTTCTTGTTTAGCTTTACTTGGAATACAGGGAAAAATAATGAAGGTTCCCAGAGGGCTGATTTGTTGCTTGTTTATAGACATAGTGTGGCGCAGACTGGGATTTTTCTGTCCGTGCCTGGCTAGGGACAAACTTGATGTAAACAGATTGCTGTTAATAGTCAGGCATCCTTTGCTGACTGTAGAAACTCGGCATTTTTGCAGCGCTTTTTGCCTCTCATCTTTCCACACTGTGCGGAGACAGGTAGAGCTCCCCATGGCCCTTGCTCACGTGATGTTCCCCCAAACAAGCTCCCTGCAGCCTGCTGTGCTCCTTTGCCTTTCTTCCCGCTAGCACGCACGGTCACACGTAAAAGGTTTCTTGCTACTTCGGTGCTTTTATGACATGCGTGTGGAAACGGGAACGTGTGAGTTCAGCTGGCAGCAAGGTGACGGCTCTGTGGAGATTTACTTGGCTCACTCTTGCCTAGGGCGGTGAAACAACTTTTGCTGGAACATTTCCTTGCACTGGTGGCTATTAAAGGTAAAGTTTTAGGCGCAGTGGAGTGCGTCCTTGCAGAAGACCTGTTCATTAGCTTCAAGAGGAATATCCAGAACTAAACATACAATAATACTTTTTTTTTTTTTCTGTTGGCTGGCTTTTTTGTTTGTTTGTTTGTTTGTTTGTTTGATTTTTAAACATTATCTTCTCATTCTTAAGTTGTTCTGCTTCCCTGGGATTTTCCTTCCAAAAATCCTATTTTCCAAAGACAATATAAGTATAGAAGATGAAAAGTTTTATATAGTTGAATGGTAACACAGGATTCTTTACATCACTCAAATAGAATTAAGTAGAATGGCTGTCTTATTTGTGATAGAACATTTGAAATAGATACAGGATGCAACGACTACCAATAATGAGAAAAAAATACAGCAAATAAATCATAATTGTTCATCTGTTTTTGGGTTAAGAGAGGTAATAATGATACCTGCCTGAATTCTCAGCTCATTAATATTTTTCGCTACGATTTTCTGATACTGTAATAATGTAATTCTGGTTAAAATCTCCCTCCTCTAGGTTTCGGTAGTTCAGAACTTCTCAATAAAGTATTTTATTGCTCAGCTTCCTGAGTCAAAGTTGGCAGAGTTTGCAAACTTATATTATGAGGCATAGGAATATGCAGAAAAGTGGTTGTTAATATATTTAAAACCTTTTCTTTAGGAAAACTATAAAGCAGAAAGCTTATTTTGCTGAACATGTTGAAAAATTAATTAGGGGGAATACTTCTGTTAATTTTTTTTTGTCTTTTCATGTGTTTGATGTGAGTATAAAGTCAATTATGCTGATGTCTTGTGAAGTTGGAAAACACCTAAAAACACCACAAAAAAAGGCACTTTTATTCACTCAAGCAGATTGGGCACACTTGTGTGACAGCGTAAAGGCTCACTCTACAGACACGTCTGGTTGCTTCAGTCAGGAATTCTTTTCAGGCCAAAAGCAGGAAGAGCTCATATTTAAAAGAAAGGTTAAGATTTTTCTTTTTGTTTAAGGAAAATAAAAAAGTAAAAAACAAAAAAGCAGGGTATCTGAATTTAAACTCTGTCAAATTCTGATACGATTTTTTCTAGGGAAACCCTTTACATGTTTGTCTGCAAGACTGAGGCATCAGTTTGTAACCAAAAAATGACAACTGTAATGTGCAACTATATTGGACTGTTTAAAAGCTAAAAGGCATGAATTTAATGAAGGAAAACAGGACTCTTCATACCAGAATGTATTGATTTCCTTGTAGGAGCAAATACACTTTTAGTATGTTGAATCAGAAGGTGACATTAAGATAAAGAGTTTGTTAGTGAATCTGTTACCTTGAATATAAATTTATTTAAAGACCATTACAGTAGTTGCGATAAGAAGCCTGACTAAAAATGGAAAAGCTAAAATATAGTAAAAATTTGCTGCAGTTCTTTTTTAGACCTTCCCATCTAAGGTTTCTTAAGGTGAATAAATTAAAATGTTTCTGTGGAAATAAGACCAATGATATTAGTGATCATTACTAATCAGCCACTAGTGATTCATTTAATATTATCTGTACTATGCCGATAATGAAATTCTATGTTTTATATGAATTTACTGCTTAAAAGAGGCTAAGCTGGAATTCCTGGAAATGGTGGTTCACTCTTTATGCACAGTCTTGATTTTCTTGTCTCACTGATTTGGATGAGGTGGCACAGTCTTTTATATCAGTGTGTTCTTGTGAGCAACGTTTAGTAATTCATTCTGCCAGCAAGAATGCCACCTGCGATACTCTGTTGGTGTGGCATCTCACATAGAAATCTGGATGCTGGAAGAGGGACTGTGTAGTGGGAAGTAGTACATTGCTTATTATGGATGATACGAATTCCAGAAAGGAAGATCACTCTCAAATCCCAGCATGTCAGCTGAAGCTGCAGTTGTTTATTTTGAAAATCGGGTGAAAGGAATTTCAAATCAGAAAAAGTAATATTTCAAAAAGAGCCACTGTCCCTAGTCGCCATCCACTTTGGCTCCATTTGAAAAGGTAATTTAAATTAAAGTGATTTCTTCCAGTTTAGCACTTTGCCATTATTATTTGCCATAGGACTCTGGCTATGTTTCTGTTCAATGTTATTAACTTTGGTGGATTTGAATGCAAGCATTTTAGTTGAGTGTCTCCTCAAAGGGCTAGCTTCTTAATATGTGAAATCTCACTACAGTGAGTCAATATAAATGACAGAAGGTAGATATTTGGAAATTGATGATGACATGTAGGTGTTTTTTTTCAGGTTAACACTTTTGATGCCAGCTAGAAATTAAAGTTGTCACTTTAGAACTATTTATATGTAAATTAGGCAATTATGCTTTTTTTAACACTATCAAATCTGCTAAATAATTAAGTTTTTTCGCTGTAAAAAGAGACCTCCAAAAAGAAGTATTTCATTTCCTTTACATTATTCTTGTTCAGAACATAGATACGAGGAGCTGTACTCACATATTCAGAAGAGATCCAGCATCTGTTGGGAAAAGGGAAAACAATTCCAAAATTTAAAATCCATTTACTCATTAAAAAGCGCATTTATTCTCAACATCAGAAAGAAATAAATTTATAGTTTGAAAAGTTAAAATAATTTCTGTCTTTGTTTTTTTTACCAGTGGATCCAACAGATGATTTTGTTCTCCCCTATAAATACCTTGTAAAAAATGTACAGAAAAATGTTTTAATCATAACTACAATAATCAGTTCACTGTTCTAAAAATAATTATATTAACTTCAATCCTTTTTGTATTCTTGGCATGTAAGAACGACCTATATTGAAGCATAAACAGATCATGCCCTGGAGGAAAGTGTACTCATTGCCTAATTGAATATATCATTCATTTTATCATTCATTTGAATATATAGTTCATTTTATAGAAAAAACCCTTCCTGACCTGTCCTCTAGTGTGCATGCTCATTATTTTAAAATTAAGACCTTCCATTCCTTAAGTGCTTGTACGTGGAAGCAGAAACACATCTAAATTTACTCTCTTGTGTAGGCCAATTGAATTAACTTAGCTGCACATTTGAATAATATAAAAATGCACATAATGATCAGTAGAACCAGGAATCATACTCGTAATCTCTTTTAGAAATCACATGTAACTGTTCACTTGAGAAAGCAATTTATAATTTCTCTATAAAAATGGAAAATCAGAGAAATAGAAGGATCAAAAAAAAGTTGCAAAATGTTAATGTTTTTGCTTTGAAATAGTGTAATTTGTGTATCTAGACTAAGAGGGCAGTTTCTATATGTATGTTTTCAATTAGTTAATGAAGAAGTGAAGATGCTTCCCTCCTGCTGAGTGAATGCTGTGCAAGTCATTCATTAAAAAAAGTGTAAAATACTACTTGATATACTAAGTATGTTGTTTATTCTTAAGTCAGTTCCTTTATTCTTAAATCAGTTCCTTCAGAATAGATTTAGATCGGAATATTGATGGCAGGTTACTGAATCATTTAATAAAAAATTAAAGCTTTTTTTTTCTCTTTTCAGTTCAACAGAAGAGCAGTTTCACTGGCAAACACAAGGTAATGTCCTTATCTACACATATTTACTACATATATTCTTTCCTAGAATGAAAATATTTCCTGAAGAAGATAGAGGGGAAACCAACATGCCTTATGCAGTATTTTCTTCTCATTGCTAGTTTGTGAAAACCCTACTTAAAGACTGGCAAAACGTGGCCGAAGTTTTTAGAGTTGCCAAAAAGAACACCTAGAGTAATGCAGAGTTTTGAGAGGGCGCATTGCCCAACATGTCTCTGATTTTTTTTGAGATTAGACCTGAACTTTCTCAATTTGCTTTTGTTATTCCAAGGCCACTTTTTCAAAGGATGGCATAATTTTCAGTATGGCCAGCCTCCTCTGAATATGTGATCTTGGTGTGTTCTCCGTTCCTTCATCAGCTGTGAAGGCTTAGTGACATGTAACTGGTTTTACCTTTAGTTTTGTAACTGGTTTTATCTTTTGCCTTTCTTTTATATTTTCATGTTGTTAATTTTATTACAGATGGTCAGAAAGATATAGAAGATGAGCTCACCACTGGTCTGGAGCTGGTGGACTCCTGTATTAGATCACTGCAGGAATCAGGGATACTCGATCCACAGGATTATTCAGCCAGTGAAAGTAAGTTGCTAGAAATGTATTTTCCTGAAACTAGATATATTTGTAGCTTTCCATGCTTTAAAACTGAATGCTTTTCTTACAATGTTTTTCTTGGTTATTTTCTGATATTGGCAGAAGACAATGTAGTTGTGAGCAGGCAAATTACCTCCTTGCCTTTGCAAGTTAATTTTTGATTTTGTTTGTAATGGAGAGAATCTTACTGATAGTTTGTGGGCAAAAAACCCAAACATGAGGAATATATTTTAAGGAAAATAGTTTGTAATTGCAGTATTGCTGTACTATACTGTAAGGTCATGTCACAAAACTTCACTATCACCACCACAAAAGTGACTTTCAAACAGCACTTTTTCAGTATGCAAAAATAAGAAAATGAAATGTAGTGTGGGACTGTGAGTAATTCTGATGTCTCCTTTTAACTACTTGGCCAGGTACCTGGTACTCCTTAAGACTAAAATTTTCAAATGGACAGACAGAAATAGGTCAACATTTTGAAGACGATGCAGAGAACAGCAGCTGCAGCAAGAAAGCTGGAGTCTTTTCCCAAGTGTTGCTTCTCTGGTTATGTGGCAGCCATTCCACTTGCAGAAGTGGGCAGTGAGCAGATAGATCCTCTGCTAGGACCAGCTGTTGGAAAAGTGAATCAAGAATAACTGTCAGCAAAAGGGAACGAGGGGCATGCTGCTCGATGCATTTGTGGAGCAGATTTCTGCAAATGCTTGTGCTTATGAGTCCCATACACTGAGACGAAATTTTCCACCAGGTTAACAGGTCTGTTATCAGGTGTAGTACTAGATATTGAAAAAGCAGGTTGATTCCCCATTTTCCTTTCCTTTTCCTCAGTCTCCTGTTCCCCTCTGCCACAATATATACCCACTTTGACTTCATTCCCACTGCGGCTCCTGACACTTCCTTGGCTTTTCAGTTTTCTCTAGTATTCCTCTACATCTCCTTCCTTCTGCTCAGCTGAACCATTTTTATCTTTTTTAATCTCTTGCTGCCCAGTACCCTCTGACTGAGTCACATCTTTCAAGGTGGTTGCCCAAAGTCAGCTTTCTTGAAACTGAAGGGGATGATCTCCCCTTCCTCTGGGAAGGCGAATGTGGAATGTGACAGCCACCTTCTGCAAAGCATCTCTAGAAGTGATGAGTCGTCACCTGCGATGTGGTCATCATTTCAGGTGAAAGCAAAGCATTACAAGGCTGAATGCAAAGTTATAATGTGTCAGAACACTTTTCATTAGTTTACAACAAGATTTTTAGTAGAATTCATAGCTGACAATCCTGGGACAGTAAAAGATTTTTCACTTTTCTTGTGCATAAGTTGCACTTTCTGGGCCAGCAATGTCACTGACACTTTTGTTAAGATGTTGCTTTATCTAAACAAAGCCTTGCACAGGGAGAAAGTGGTGCAACAATGTGAGCCGTTACTTACCATGGTGTTTTCCCTTGACATTTTTTCCTTCATTTGAAGGTGCAGAGAAACATATTAAAGGGCTAACATGATAAGGATTGCCTTCATACTGTGATTCCATAGAAAAATGAAAATGAGTAGATGGCAACAGAGGAGACTGGGGGCAAGGAGGGGCTAGCTTGGATGGGAATATGGCCAAGACTGGATTAAGAGATGGAGACTAAGCAAACGAAGCTAGGGAAAGGTGAAGTCAGTAGATGAAGAGAAGTCTGGGTATGTGAAGAAAACTAGTACTAAAGGAAATTTCTGGAGAGTATCACAGAAAGGTAAGACACAAATAGAAATGTAGACAGGAAGGAGTATAAGGAACATGAGCAAATGGAAAAGTGATGGAGAAGAGGAACAACAGAGATTAATTGTGTGGGGAGCCAGCAGGGAAGGAACTGAGATTTGTTGAAGCAGGAGGTCAGGTCAGAAAGTTGAAAGCTGAATTTGCTTGGTTGGATGGCTTGTTCATGGCATTGGGAGCTAGATGCAAAGAGAGGGAACAACAGGGGGATGAGAGCAACATTTGAGAAGGGAAATACCAATAGAGTTACGGACAGGGCAATAGGTGACCCTAAGAAAGGTAAGTTCGGAGAGAACAGGTGGGTCCACTTGCTCACAAGGGAGAAGGCTTCTACACAGAGCTGCAAGCTTGTTTTTTTTCATTGTCAGGAAATTTTCTGAAGCCTTTTGTTGCAGTTTCCCATACTCCTCTGCTCCAGGCCCACCTCGTAAGGAAACTAGATTGCTGTTTGCCGTGTATGGTTTTAGTTAAGAATCTGATATATATGCCAAAGGTAACAGTTGCAACTCTGCTAATAATAACTCATAAATACAATTAGGATGTCATACACTGGATTTTCTTTTTGTTTTTTGGGGATCTTTTTTCAATTTAGAATAAAATACCACAAATGCATCAGTTAAAATGTTACTATGTTTGCAAAGTCAAAAGTACCAAGGTCAAGGCTGTCTGTAAAACATAATGTGACTTTTTTATGACTGCATTATAAAACAATTATTGTCATGCCCTGTTTTGTACATTTTCTGTCCATGCCTCATTTACCCCGAAGCTAAGGCTCAGATTGCACAGCATACTGAAGGGGCATTTCATCTGGAGTGCTTCTGACTTCTCTAAGCAATGTGTAGAACACACAGGATAAATGAAAACAAAAATCTCATATTTGACAGTTCAGCTTTGCATGTAAAGTGGAATTGTATCCATCCTTCGTGTGGTGAAGTTCTGATGCTACAGTTGTGAAATCATTCAAGGTATCTTCCACTGATGTTAGGTGTTCCTTGTTAGTTTGCAGAGAACCAACACCTGTAACTGGACACTGTGGAAGCGGTCTCAAACATATGAAGCGTGATATAAAAGGAAGTGTAGAACTCACTCTGAAGTGTCTCACACTCAGCATTTATATTTCATAGACACTTTCAGTCTTAATTCCTTCAAGCTCTGAATAGGAAATTAATTCTATATAAATGTCTCACTTTACAGGTATTGTAAAAATCATTATTTGTGAGGTATTTGAAGTAAAAGTTTAGTGTCATAGAATAATCCACCAGGGTGCTTTTTTTTTCCTTTGTATTGGACATTTTTCAATGAAGGCCTGAGGTCATACAGTAAAAAATGAGGCAAGTACAAAACACTGAATAGTTTTGCATTGTGTGCAATGGCCATAAGACAAGGAAAGAGGGGTAGAGTGATGATTCAGAAAAGAGAACAACTTAGTCTGGCATTTCCTAACTTTTGAGCTCTTGACTTTATAATTTTTGTTACATTTACTTCTGCAGTTTGAATGCAGATCTGTATTTTATATAACGAGACTGACTCTGAGGAGAGCATTTCTAGCCTGCCATGGCAGTTCTGGTCTAGTTGAGGCAGATTTTTTTAAATCATTATATGAAAGCCTGCCCAGGGATGTGACCACAGCTTCTTTTTCTAAACTGTGTGCATCTAGTCTAACGAGGTAGTCATCAGTAGCTGTGCCTTTGTAGAGGATTAGTGTGTCTGTAGTCAGAATGTTTACGATTCAGTTTCACGCACTCTGATTTTCTCAGAATTAGTTTTAAAAAGTGGTCACATGGCAGGCGGCTGTTATAATGCTCTAAATCCTAAACATCCCTTCACATGTGCTATTCCTTTAGTAGCAAAGAAAAGCCATGAACAAAGGCTAATGGGACAAGTCACATGAAAGGGGCTTACACAGGAGGGGTTCTGTATGGCTAACAGAGACGCTTGCTAATTATCTTTACTGTGTGTGAATCAGCAAATTAAAGAAAATATAAATATGTAAAGCTTTTATTAATTTGGGGAAATTCAAGCAGAGGGATCACTTTTTGTAAAGTAATTATTATCAGGCAAGGACAAGGAGATTCATAACTGCTGCCTGCTCTCATACACGTTTTCTGTGGTTGCGCTGAACCTTGGACAAGGTTTTAGGCATCTCAAGGGAACTCGTGCACTGTTGCCCATCTTTCTTCTGTCCCAACTCGGTATAAATTGGCTTCCCAAAAATTTGTGTTTCCAGTTACAAACAAACAAACAAAACGTAAGGAAACTTCCAGAATTACGCAAGAAGCTGCAGCGGAGTTAAGACCTGAACCTGCATCTCCGCGGTCCGTTTCCTGGTGCTGCGGTGATTTCTCTTTACCTTTCATAGCTATCAATCTGTCACCACTGCGTCGCTCCAGTTTACATCAGACGTGATCTGACGTGGTTTTTGTGGAGTCAGAGGGGAGTTCAGCGTGTCTTAAGTGTCTGTGGGGGTGTCACCATCAGAACGACGGGTGGTCCATGCATGCCCTCAGTCCCTGAGGGTGGGCAGGTACAGGCTGCTGCCAGTGGCAGTAGCCATTAGCTATGGTGTGTCCCAGGGGGCCGCCTCCAGCCTCAACGTCACTGTGAGGGTACTCGACCCTCCCTTCTCCCTGCTGTGAGAGAGGGAGTAACACCCAGCCTGGCAGCCTGTGGCTGACTGTGGAGCTGGCTGCTCCTCTCTGAAACTATTTCTTCCCTCCACCATTATGTCTTTCTGATGGGAACCCCAAAATACTACTTTTGCATAAATGAAGGTAAATAACTGTCACTTTAAATAGAATAAGGGGAAATGACTAGAGATCTGAAAGCTAAGGCAGGTCACATATGAGACACTGGAGACAAGTCAGAGGAGAGAGACAGCAATGCAGAATAAGTGTAGGACCTGGAATCAGTGGGGAAGCACACATGCAGGGGACTGAAATTTAGTTCAGGACAGAGATAATAATAGGCATGTTTCAGACACACATTAAGACACAAGAGTACTGAATAGTGACTGTAGCTTAGGAAGGGTGTTTTCATGGCAGAAATCACAGAATCACAGAATGTTCGGGCTTGGAAGGGACCTCTGTGGGTCACCTTGTCCAATGCTCCTGCCAAAGCAGGGTCGCCTACAGCAGGCTGCACAGGACCTTGTCCAGGCAGGTCTTGAATATCTCCAGAGAAGGAGACTCCACAACCTCCCTGGGCAGCCTGGTCCAGGGCTCCGTCACCCTCAGAGGGAAGA